TTCATTCATTCACTATAATGTATATATAACAGTAGAGCCTGATGATGAAGTTATCGAAAAGAGTATTCTTTGTTCAGTATCCATTCCTTTGAAAATTTCGTGATATATAGCGCAACCACCAGATCGTATACTTATATTTACTCTCCAAATAATTGTGTAGCTATCGATTACATTAACTAAGAGGTGCAGTATAATGAATCATAATGAGGTTAGGTTTGATGTAGTTTTATTTCCTAGGTTGAATGGTCCAATTTGAGAAACTTTTACTGTCCTTCTAAAGAACATCTTGAGCTCAGATTACAAATAAGAAGTGAGCTGTTTATGAATTTTCCAAGATTGATATAGTTGTGTTGTGTCTTGACGACATTAGTTGCGATTGATAATTAGTTTTCGCTAGTGTTGATCACGTTTTCATAACTTTGAATTTGACTTTTCTGTCGTGTGATTTATTCTTTATTAGTTGATAAATTTGATCTCTAGGATTATGTCTGTTAATCATTGATTCATCTCAGTACCGAACCTCTGGAAATCGCCTGGTATTTTTGATGTCTAGTTCACATAAGATTTGTATGTTTTCCTTAGGTGTCCTTGGTTATCAGCATGAATTGATATGGGAGAAGGCATATCACGTTAGGCTTATGGTGATTGATAGATTAGGTTGTGAGGCTTCATCCTACTGAGGTAGATACCATGAGTATTAATTTGAAGAAGAGTTACGAATGGTCACACCAAAAGCAGAGCATCAATACATCAATAAAGTCATTCATAGATGGTCTCAATCAAGGAGGCAGATTTAAACTGCTTGTCTGGGATCTTTACAGTGTTAAGAATCAGTATTTAAAGATTTCTTATAATATGACTGAAAATTGTCCATAATAGCATTGATATGTGTGCGTCGGTGGCACAGTGGTAGAGTGCTCGACAACCACGCAGGTGGTCCAGTGTTCGATACCCCGCCACCGACGCACTCCACCTCGCCAAGACAGTAGTAAGACTGGTTAAAGACGGAAGATTAGGGATGAGGCTAGCAACCCCATCGTGTAAAAGCAATCATCACTGCTACAGAAACTTCAAGCCTCTAGCTTGAAGCACCCTATGTTCCACTCGGAACGTAAAGGAATGAAAAAAAGCATTGATATATTTTCTTCCTTATCAACTTTCCCATCTTCACTCAAGTATTTGCTTTTTAGTACATCTTCATCGATTATAGTTTTATCACACTGCTTTCCTTTTTCTTTCCGTGTGTGTCTGTCTGTCTGTTTTCGACATAGAACTTTGCACATATGTGCTTCAGTTCAAGTCGCCACACTCCATGTAGCACACAAAGCAAGAGAAGAAAGTAGAAGAAATGCATATTTGAGACAGTAAACAGAGGTGTGAGACAAAGGTATAGTAATAACGAAGGACAAAACAGTTTAATTGGAAATCATAAGTCACAAGGAGTGGACGCATCTGCACCATTGAGAACTATTTTGAGCCATGTTACCAACTGTCTCCAACCACTGGTGTTTATCCTCCCTTCCTACATGGCTTAAACTAATTGTTGTGGATTTCATTGACTGGTGCCATATTTTGGTGTGACAGCCGCTAGCTCTTTTCCAGCCTGACCATATGTCAGCCAACATTGCCCGTCGAGGAAGGCGATGACTAGGCATGCGTAACACATGTACTAACCATCTCAGTCGATGTAATTTCACAGCCTCGTCGACTGATTTCCCCTCCTTACCTAGCACTCGACGCCTAACCTCAATATTGCTCACTTTATTATACCACTTCACACGGGAGGTAGAACGCAGACACCTATGATCGAACACAGATAATCTTTGCATGTCTTCCGCTCTCAATGGCCAGGTCTCACAGCCATAAAGGAGGACGGAGCGGACTGTTGAGCAGTACACATGCCCTTTGTTCGATAGTCGGATGTCACGTCTACGCCAGAGACGGCATAAACTGGCGAATGCGAAACTAGCCCTCTCTATCCGTGCTGAGATTTCGTCAGACATCAACTTGGTGGCTGATGCAACTTCCCAAGTAAGTGAAGTGGTCAACGTGCTCTACCACTTCACTTCCTATTTCTAATCTAGGAGTCAGTGTAGTCCTTTCCTGTAGAATCACCTTGTATTTGGTGGGAGCGAATCGCATGCCAAACATTCGAAGATTGTAGATCAAGGTGTTCAGAAGACTCTGCATTTTGTCAGCATCCTCGTCTAGAATCACTATATCATCCACATATTCTAAGTCAACGAGATTATTCCCTGGTAGCAATTCAATCCCTGAGTCGCTGAAGGGAGTTAGGGTTATGTCCATTAGTACATCTATGATGAAGTTGAATAGAAATGGGGATGATGGGCATCCTTGGCGGACGCCACTAGTCGTCACCACTTCAGATGACAACTCGCCGTAAGCCCTCACCTGGCTGGCCGCATGAGTACGAGTAGAGTGCCTTAATCAGTGCAATGTATTTTCTCGGCATTCCCTTTACAGCCAAGCATCGCCAGAGAACCTCCCGGTCGACAGAATCGAATACCGTCTTTAGGTCAAGTAATATAATGATTGTTGGACGCCGGTAGGAATGCCTATGATCTAGAATCTGTCGGACGGTGAAGATGTGATCAATACACCCTCTACCTGGCCTAAAACCTGCCTGGTTTTCTCGTGTTTGTGTCTCCCGAGCACCACTTAGTCTACGCAGTATTATTGAGCCTAGGACTTCAGATACTATATTAGTCAAGCTAATCCCTCTGTGATTATCACAAGAAGACTTGTCTCCCTTCTTGTATATCGGGATGATCAGTGACCTACACCAACCCGATGGGACTTCCTCTGATTATCAGACGCTGCCTATAACCTCCGTTAACGCAGACAGTAAACTGTCTCCTCCGTACTTAAATACCTCTGGAGTCAATCCATCAGGTCCCGCTGCTTTGCCTTGCTTCAGATTAGTGACAGCTTTAGTAACCTCGGTTAAGGAAGGAGGACCTGTGTCTATATCCCATTCAGGGAGGTGCTGGATGTTCGGCAGGTTAAGTGTGGCTGTAGGCCAATTAAACTGCTCCTCGTAGTGTTCTTTCCAGCGTCTCAGTCATCTATTTTGACAGCCAATTAAGGTGCCATTTTTCTCGGATATCGTTTCACTTATCATTTTCCTTTTGTCACCTGTTCCCTTGATAAGCCTGAATAGATGTCTGGTGTTGCCAATCGCCGATGCCTATTCCATCTCTTTCGCTTTCCGTGTGTGTACTTTCACAGAGGTGTTATAGTTTAACGTAATATACTTTTATGAAAAGTTCTGCATTGTTGAATCAATCAGTTAATCAATCAATCAATCAATCGGTCGGTCAGTCTGTCTGTCAGTCAATCAACCAATCAGTAGTTAGACAGACAGTCAATTAGTCAACTAATCAATCGAAAAGTCAATCAATCAGACACTAAGAATATTTAAATTTGAAACTGTATATTTTACTTGAACACCTAATTACTAGACAGAAAAAAAGAGTTCAATTGTAAAGACTACAACGATTAACATATTCAAAAAAAGGAATGCGTTGTGTGTGAGAGGGACTCACACACAGAGAGAAAAAAAAGGGAATCGTTTACATTTCATCAAAAAGAAAACAAATTAAAACACTAAATCATTTTTTTTACCGAGAAAATTCAATTCGAACCAGGATTAATGAAATGAAACGCAAAAACAAAAGAATTTCTCATAATAATAATAATAATATTAATATAGTCTACTATTGGAAAGAGAATAAAATTGATTAGTTATTGATTTTATTCTAGGTTTTTTCATTGCTGTTTATTGGTTGTTAGTTGATTGGTTGAAAAATAAATGAAAACAATAATTTTATTCACTCATATTCATTCAAATAAATATTTCACTAATTTAACGATGGGAAATAATAATAATATTACTATTATTATAGACACAATAAAGGTATACTGAGCTGAGTGTGTAGACAAAGAAAGGGAGACACAGTATTGTAAGGTGTTTTAATTTTAATCATAGAAACGAATAGAATATTGAATTATTAATTTGTCCACATATGTTTACAATGAATCACTGAGACCAGCACGCGTATATTTGATGATTACATAAAGAAAAATATTTTTAAGGGAAAACAACGCATTCAGTATTCATTTTCACTTGAGTTAGTTGTGTTGTTGTATGCCTGTGTATTCTTGTGCGTATTTTTATGTGTGAACCGGAGAACTTATCGCCTTATTGTTTCCGATTACATCTGTGCACTGCAAACTATAATATACATATACAGATATATATATATGTACATATGAACGATTGCATAATCTATTCTGAATAACCTTCATTTCAGTGAAATTTTACATTTTTTATTTCCTTTAGGTTGAAATTTTGTTTAAATTGAAGAAATGGTTAACACAAGTAGAAAAATTAATAAATAGCTGACCTGCTTGTTTAAAAAGTGACTATCGAAAAGACAAAAAGAAAAAAAGGAAATTGAACATATATATAGTATTAAAATCAACTTGAATAGATAGATAGATTTATAAGGCACATAACTTTATTACAACAAAATTACTAATGGTGATATAAGGCTTGTATGCATTGAGGTGTACTTGTGCATGTTTGAGTGCATTTGACAAGTAAGCCGGATCATACTTAACCTATTAATTATGTAATTAACAAAATAGTTTAAAAAAACAACTAAGAAACAAACAAACGGGGAAGTTTCACACAAAAATTTAAATACCACTGTAATATTCTACTGACACAGCTTATTTAAGGAAGACAATTATTCATGTATACAAGATAGATAAAACAAGATTCAGATGTGTATGCGTGTGTGTGTGTCTGTGCGCTGAATTCAGAATGTACAAATCAGTTCGATGTAGCTGAGCCTCCTGGAGATGAGGATAACACTGACAAAGATAATAATAATAGTAACAATAATAATAATAATAACAATTATAACAATAATAATAGCAGTAGTAAACGAGAAGGATTCATAGAGGGAAGAATGCTAATTCTTCTCAGAGAAACTTATCAGGCATGATTTGTAATGAATTTGATTGGTGTTGTTGTGTGGTTGTTGTTGTTGTAGGAGATAATCCGATTTTGTATTGATTATTGATTCTTCTGACTCATCATTATGAATTAATCGATTAAAATCTATGCCATCCTGTACATAGTTATTATCATTAATATTATTATTATGATTATCACCATTATTATTTTGTAAAATATTTCTATTTAAACAATTATTTCCTTCTATATTTTCAATATCTTTTATTTGTTTGCTAAATAATTCATATTGATTATTATTACTATTATTGATTATTGAATTTAAATTTAAATTATCACCATTATTGATTATAGAAATAAAATCAATATCAGTTTGTAAATCATTATCATTATTATTATTATGATTGGTGAAATAATTATCAACTTTAGGATTTTGATTGATATCGATTGATTTGTGGAATTGATTTATTGATGTTGAATTATCATTAATAATTTGATCAAGCATAAAATATGGTGACTCTTCATAAATTTTATTGAATTGTTGTTGTTGTTCATTTTGTAAATTAGATTTATTCATAAAATTAATACCTGGAAGCGTATCATTATTATTATTATTAATATTAATATTACCATTCATTTTACTGAATATTTCATTATCTCCATTGATTTCATCAAAAAGAGTACAGTCTTCATCAGTAATATTATCACTATCATTATTATTCTCATTATTACTAATCTTATCATTATTACCTCCATTCTTAATGTTCGACAGAACTGCAAAAAATAAAAATAAAATATGAGTATAAAATGTAGTTAATAAAATTTTATTAAATATCCATCAAATGAAATATGTCTGATTTCCCACAAACTGGAAGATATGCAAGCGAAAAGCAACAAGTTGGCAGAAGAAGCATCAAAGATAGGACTTCAGGTGAACATAGAGAAAACAGAGGCGATGAAGATTCCTGGGCAACACCACTAATAGCAACAACAACAACAGACAACAATAAGCATAAATGGGAGGAACCTGAAAGAAACAACCTCTTTTACCTACCTGGGAAGCATCGTTTCAACTACAGGCGGAACTGACGGGGATATCAAAGTAAGAATCGGAAAAGCAAGACAAGCTTTCACTACTCTCAAGTCTGTGTGGAGGTCAACAGCACTCAGCATGAAAATGAAAATAAGATCCGGATTTTCAACTCCAATGTGAAGTCAGTCACTGCCACTATACGGATCAGAGACTTGGCGCGTCATAAAGAACACCTCAGACAAACTACAGACATTCATTAATAGCTGTCTTTGCTCAATACTACTCAAGATCAGATGGCCGGCCATAAAAGTTCAGCAACAGGGATATCTGGCAATGGGCGAACCAACCAGGAACCGATTGGGAAACAAATAGGCAGGAAGAAATGGAGATGGATTGGCTGGTCATACTCTGAGGAAACCATCAAGTGACATCACTAGACAAGCCAGTGCTCGAGTGGAATCCGAAAGGGAAGCGGCGAGTTGGTCGTCAGTGCGAGGGTGAGGGTGACTTGGAGGAGGTTATATGAAGAGGAGATGAAAACGTGTGGGCAGACTTGGAGCCAGGTGAAGACTCTAGCAGAGAACCGAACTCAATGGAGACGCACGGCTGAAGCCCTATGTTCCTCTAGGAATTAAAGGATACAATAATAATAATCCATCAAATTTTGCAATTTATTAAGCATATAGCAATAAGAATTTTGACTGATTTGTTAAAACTTTAAGCACTCCTCCGATCAATCGAATATCATCAAATCAATATGCACCGTGATGACGAGCTACCTAGAATGGTGGCCACATTATAAACTTGACTGATAGAATTCAGTCTGCACCAAACACCAAGGACTAGATACACACATAACACTAGTTACTCACTAGTGTTCAATCAAAAGTATGCAATACAGTCCTACAGGAGGTTAATCGTGAGCCTGAATAGGTTAGTGGTAACGTCTCTGACTGACTGCAGCACTGGGTAATGTGGGTTCGAATCTCAGGAGGGACATGAGTTCCTTCAAGATGGTTGCAGATACGCCTTGCTGATTGGTGAGTGCCAACTAGCAAGAAACCTAGGTCAAAAGCTTCCAGCCGATTGCCTCCAACAGGTTCCCCTAGACAACAGGACACGCAATGCCACTTAACGGGCAATATGTTGTTAATTAGTTTGTTCCTAGAGTTCCTTGTTTCTCATCCTTTCTGACTGATCATTTGATCTTCAGCATAGAACTAGAAAAGTCAGATGTTGATAAAAGTCTGAAGGAGCCTGTTGCAAATGCTTTTGGTAATGCGTAAGTCAAATCTGTGGACTATAAAGAGTAACTGACTTCACACTGGTATTAAAAATTCAAATCTTGTTCCTTATGCTGAGTGCAGAAGATTCCCATACTAATTTCAGATTAATAAGCAATTGTCATGCTTTTACTTTCTTGACTGACTTTCGTGTCCTCATCTCTGAGACCTCCTATAGTTGAAACGCTTCTGCTTAGATGAAATAAAAGAGGTGACCTCCTTCAAATTACTCCTGTTAATGGTGACTGATGCTTGTCGTTGTTATTGTTGATTGGTTATCTTCATCACCTCTGTGTTCACTATGTACACTTGAAGTCCTGTCCTCACTGCATCCACCTTCTGCGAACGTATTGATTTTTGCCAGTATGTCTTCACGTATGTGAGAAATTAGACATAAATCATCCAAAAAATCAAGATCCCCTAAAGTCCTGTTGTTGGTCCAACATATTCTTATCTTCTCGCTGCCCATAATATGCCGTATCAGCCAGTCCGCTACAGTCAGAAATATTATCGGTGATAGTAGACAGGCAGCCAGCTTCTCTTACTCCTGTCTTCACTTCAAAGGCTTCTATGAGTCTTCCATTGTGGATCACTTGATACGTGACATTTTATGTAGCCAGCTGTTGAATAAATTTGATGAAGATCTGGGGTACGGCACAGTGTTGAAGTAGTTTCCAAATTACTTCATTGTCAACGCTGTTGGAGGCCTTATTATAGTAAATGGAGTTGAAGTACCTTTCCTTCCCTGTAGACTTTCTGCATTAGCATTTTTATCATATCCTCTAAGGTTTGTGGATACTTTTTAAGTGCTTTAGGAGGAGTTCCATCTGGTCTTACTGCCTTCCAGGCTTTCAGTAGCTTTATGGCATTTAAGACTTTTGACTTTGTTAAACGATTGGTGTCCACTGGAAGTTATGTGGCTGTTGGTGGTACTTCTGGACGAGTTGCAGGTGGTGGTCAGTTCAAGAGTTCTTTAAAGTGATCAGATCATTATTTCTTTCTCTTCTCCTGTTTGGTATTTAGGTTCCTCACACTACCTTTCATTGGTTTCACCTTTGTTAAACTCTTCCCAGATTCCATTATGGGTAAATTTTATTTTGATAAAGTCTCACAGTGTTATACAGTAATATTTACTGATGACGTTTCGAGCACAATTTATTGCTCATAATCATATCATATCACCTTGATATGATTATGAGCAATAAATTATGCTCGAAACGTCATCAGTAAATATTACTGTATAACACTGTGAGACTTTATCAAAATAAAATTTACTCATAATGGAATTACACTCTTCCCAGATGGCTAATTAATTATCTGGCACAGTTATCTGAGGTCTCTCTTATCTGTAGCCTATTCTGCTTCAGTTGACAGTGTTTAATGGGAGTGATTCTCTCTTGTGTTCCTTAGCACTCTTCTTCACCTCTTTATTCAATGCATCTAAGTATGAATAGGTCACTTGTAATTTTTTACGACTACAGCGCCGAATGATGTAGGTTCTTATTTTCCCAAGAGGGTATCTTTTACTTTGAGATCACAAGTGCACCTTTCTGACAAATACCAATAAGCAATCAACTCCATCCAAAGACTTCTTGCCAGTTATCTCCAGACAATGTGCAAAGTCGTTCTTCAGATATCAGTTTGTTATTACTCTCCATAATCTCCTAAATCCAGTAAATCCCCATTTTTCTTCATATAATTATTGATTCTTTCACGCAATTTCATTTATTTTAGATTATTTACATTTCATTTTATTCTCTATCTCTATGTATGCTTGGATAAAATGAGGCGACTTCAACTGTTACGTTTTCATGCATAGTTCTATGTCTAAAATTTAGTAAAATTCACCCCAGGTGAACCAATAATAGGCCAATTATCTTAGGTACATACTTATTGTACCTATTACCTGTTACCTATTTTCCCTTCAGGATCGGGACTTGAATCATTTATTTCTGAAGATAAAGAACTTACTAACATGACGTTTGAGTAATTGTGGCTAGCAGTGGAATCCAGGAAGCGCATTTCTTGGCTTCTGAAACTTATAAGATGGAGATTTTTACTAAATTTTTAATCAAGTACACATAGTTTCAAATTCCAGTGGATCATGGAGCCAAGAGATCCACATGTAGTGTAGTAGTTATCAGTTACTATTTCCTGGAATTATAATTTCAATTCTCCCGTTGATTGTTTATAGTGGGTTTTAATACTCAGTCAGATTGTTTTTTATTCCTTTACGTTCCCAGTGGAACATAGGGTGCTTCAAGCTAGAGGCTTGAAGTTTCTGTAGCAGTGGTGATTGCTTTTACAGGATGGGGTTGATAGTCTCATACCCAACCTTCCGTCTTTACCAGTCTTACTACTGGCTTAGCGAGGTGAAGGAGTGAGTCGGTGGCCGGGGATCGAACCCCAGACCACCTGCGTGGTTGACGAGCACTCTACCGCTGTGTCACCAACGCACACGCAATCAGATTGATTTCAACGGATTACCAATAAGCTAGACAGGTTGATTAAATTCAACCTCAGTAATTAGTAACTCAAGGTAGACTATAGTGATGAGCACTGCTCCTTTGATAAAATACTTGAATGCCGTCAGGGCTTTGTATTAACTTATAACTCATAATACTGAATTACATTTTATCACAGTATTGTGTCATTTAACCTAAAAGTTATCACTATTATAACAATTTAGCATAAGCTTATTGGGCATTCTCTTAGTAGATTATCAAATTGTGGGGATAACTGAACTAATCTGATAAGAAATACGATGGAATATCCCTGTAGAAAGCCACTTCGAGCCACAGACAACCAAATAATAACATATATGCATACTATATTACTGGACATGTCAACAAAGATTGAAGACTTCATTTGAATAAAACAAATCATTCGAAATGAATTTTTTATAAAAAGGAATCACACTGATAAATGAAAATTTATCTTTTCAAGTATTGATTTTGTAGGGATTTTGTTTGATTGGTTGGAGAATTTCATCAAACAAAATCCCTACATAACCAATACTTGAAAACTGATCTGATGCTCACTAGCGACTGGCCCTATTCAGGCAGTGACCTGGAGTTCTAGTGGGAAGCCGTGACGAGTAGGGTCCAGCAGGTTGAAGTTGAGGCAGTAACTCATCGAAGAAGACATTGAGAAATAGTCGCGCTATGTCATGAATTGGCAGAAGTTAGAATTCATGGACTGGCCATTGGATCGGGTCCCAGTGGCTTAATGGTCTACGAGCTAGCTCACCTTGTAACCAGAAGGTCCTGGGTTCGAGCTCCTGGTTGGTGCACACTGCTGAAGAGTCCCAAACTAGACTAACGAAACAGCTGTCCAGTACCCTCTGGTTTTCCAATGGTTCTCTAACTGATGTCAGCTCATGATGAAATCCTCCAACCAATTAAATATTTATCTTTTTTCAAATGAGTGTAATTGACGCTTACAAATTACTAACTAATACAGTCTTCACTTACTTGAAAATTCATTATTTCTTAAAGTATTGTGATTATTTGATTGAGATTGTTGAAAATTATGAATATTACGAAAAATTGATAATACGGAATGTGAAGTACCATCAATGCTATCAATTTCTTTTGTTGTCTCAAGTATATCATCAATATTGTTGTTTTTACTCTCAACAGAGCCAACATCATCATCACCATCATCATCATCATTAATTATTTTGTTAAATTGTGAATCTTCTATAAAAATGTTACAATTATTATTACTATTAGTTTCATTATTATTATTATTACTATTAAACGTTGAATGAATTGAATGATTGAAATCAAAAGTATGCTGAGAATTTATTAGATTTTTAGAAGATATTAAATGTTCAACAGTACTGTTGTTATTATTATTGTTATTATGATTGTTATTTGTAGCACATTCATTGTTTAAATATCCTAGTTGTAATGGCGGCAAATTTAAATTTGTCTGACAATGTATATTATTCACAGGCGATTGTTCTGTAAATCCATTCAATGTGTTCAATGTTGTTGATAAACAATGAGATGAGCATGAATTACAATTGTATGAAGCTGTAATTGGAGTATTGACAGAGGCGGTGGAGAATATGTTATTATTATTATTACTATTATTATTATTGATTGACAATCAAATCATGATTGGAGAAAGAATTTATAAGTTGCTGTTTCTGTTGCTCTTGTTGTGGTTGTAGCAGTTGGGGAGAATGATTGAGATTTGTAAACTTATAAGTATTTAGCAAATTATTGTTATTACTACTCATATTGTTGTTATTAATAGTAGTATTGGTAAAATAATGAGTAAATAACCAATGGATTGCTGCTTCACTTGCTAGTTTTATTGATTTTTCAATTGTAATCGACGGATTATTCGAGATGAATTGACGACTTAAGTTGGGTAGATAAACCTGTACAAGAAAAAACAACAATAAAAATGAATTCTATTACGTAAGTGAATAACTCATTTTGATTAAATTTACCAATCGAAAGGTCAAGTGTCAGATCAGTGAGACGATTGTTATCAATCGATACGGGTGAATATAACGAGAGAGAATGACATAATCATAGTCGCAGTTGTTAGGGAAAATGGTTGTTTTTTGAATAGAGAATTCTTAAATCTTGCTTTATTTTGAATTCAGCACTGAATATGTTGCTTTTATTGGACGCTAGGTAGTAAGTAGCAAATGTCGTGCGTCTAGCCCTTTGTTTAGTGCAGACTGAATTCTATCAGTCAAGTTTACAAATGTGGCCACCATTCTCGGTGGCTCATCAACACGGTGCACTCAGAATTGTCATTAGATGGCTGGAGGCGATCGCGCTTTTTGCTTCTCGTCAGAAGGGCATATCTTATGGAGAGACTAAGAAAACTTTGTAATGAAACTGTTTAGCTTGGAGTGTACAACATAAGGAAAATAATTCATATATTATTCAAATAATTATTCACACTCTATTCCACCTATCATCCCCACTGTAGCTGGTTCTCTGACATCACTTTCAATTAGCCAAGTGACTGTCCACAAGATTTCATATTCTCACCGCATGATTTTCTTTGTGTCACTCTCAGACCCTTAGCCCACCTTATCGCTTACTATTAGGGTTGATCTTTAGAGCCTAACGTGTGGTATTACTTGAAGATCTCCTCACTGCATGCCTAATTCGTATCCATTTCCTACTGAATAATTATTGAGGGATAGGACCTTGCCTTGTTAGCTGCAGGAGTTCCCTGTCGGTTGCTTGTCATTCTTGGCCATCTTATCTTTAAAGTTGAGAGAAGAGAGGTGTTGATTAAAATCTACAGTAGTCTATTGGATATCTTCATCGCCTCTGAGCTTACTACTTGAAATTGCCTTTTCGCTGCTTATTCTACCAGTTTATCGGCTTTCGCCTGAAGATCTTCAGGTTTGTGTAACATTGGATATAAGTCATCCGAAAAGTTGAGATTTTCTAGAGTTTTACTGTCGGTTCAACTTATTTCTGTCTTTTCGTTCCTCATGGTAGTATAGACTATCCTAAAAGGATGTAGTCTTTCTTATGTGAGATGTTTAATCAAGAAATCTAGTCGAAATAAATTTAGAAAAGAAAGCTTAAAACGTTTATCGAATTACTTTGGCTAAAATCTTTCAAACACTACATTTTTCTATAGGTAATAAAGTGATATTAAAACTATTAGATAACCTGAATGCTGGCTGGGATCGTTGAAGTGATAAGAACCAGTTAGTGGAAACTGTTGGCGATATTACTCAAAATTGTTCTCAACGGCACATATGCCTTCACTGATGATGATTCTCTAGATTCATACAGTTCTCATTATTCCCCTTACAGTTATTTTTCTCCACTTACATTTTCATTAATTATGGTTTCTTTGCATTCATTTATGAAGTGCGGGAACTTGAACCGTTACATTTATAATTCTATGATAAAAATTCAAATAGATCAGCATATCTTCAGATTCAGAGAAAAACTTCATTTGAACAAATACTCACTGACAATATCAGCTGGCAGTCCCAATGGCTAAACACTCAAAGGGTTGGCCTTGTAACCTAAAGGTACCGATATCATGAGTGCGTACCGATGAAGAGACTTAAACTAGGACAAAACTACTTCCCATTACACCCTGATTTTCAACAAATCTTTAACTAATATCAAATCGTTATTAAACTTGGAGCTATTCAAATCTCTCTACAAATCAATACTTGACAGTGAGTCAATCAATGATTTTAGAGTTCATTTACAGATAAGATATTTGCATCAAGATCATATTCACCAAGAAGATATATAAATAGAGAATAATCTCTATGCAAAACATTTTTCACTTACTTGACCTGTATATAAATTCATCTTTTTTCCAGTCAATTGATCTACATAACTTTGTGTCAAAGTTGTAAATTTTGGTGAACCAAATCCATTTTTCAAACAGATATCCATTAGCAACTTTTTAATATTAAATACAATAAAAAAATATAAAAAAATGTATATGTTATTTTAGTTTCTGTTATGTAACATATAAACTGTATAAGCATCACAATGCATTTTCTTTGAAATATATATATATATATATGTATATTTCGAGTTGATCACGGATTGATATCAGTTAGAGAAGCATTGAAAACCAGGGAGTACTGGACAGCTGTTTCATCCTAGTTTGAGAATCATCAGCAGAACGCATCCACTGGGGTTCGAACCCATGACCTTCCGGTTACAAGGCAAGCTCCTATACCATTCAGCCCCTGGAACCCGATTCAATGGCTCACGAGGATGCCTTGTAGCCTGAAGATCCTGGGTTTGAACCCTGGATGTGAGTGTCTACTGACGATGATTCCCAAACTAGGATGAAACAGCTGTACAGTACTCCAGTGCTGGTTTTTAATGGTTCTCTAACTGATATCAATCCGTGATCAACTCGTAAAAACAAAACTAATCCTTACAAACCAACTATAGAAAATGTATATATACAATATATAATTAAAATGTAAATTATGATATTTCCACTCCTTCTCATTGTGAGGGGAACATAGGGGTTTATCCTTTGTTATAATCCAGTGATACTGGGTTATGGATTCTTCTAATGTGACTAGAATGCACCACCAGAACACGACACGATCACAAAATGATCAGTTGGAAACACAAATATCAGATTGGCAAAAACAACGACAAGAATAACAAAGACAACATCTATCAAACTGACTCTTCGATATATATTGAAGTAATGGTTTATAGGGATTTTCGTACTATTGGTTAGAGGGTTTCGTCATGAGCTGACATCAGTAAGAGAAACATTGGAAAACCACCAGGGACTACTGGACAGCTAGCTGTTTCGTCAGTCTAGTTTGGGACTCTTAAGCAGTACACACCCAACACAGGGATTCGAACCCAGGACCTTCTGGTTACAAGGCCAGAGAGCTCGTAGACCATTAAGCCACTGAGACTTTATCCAATGAGCCAAAGTATATCATAATTACAAGATCTCAGAAATTCGAGGCTATAATAAAATAAGTCTTACTGTTTGGATGAAATGGTGACCCCTCCGAAAATAAAGCCGTAAATAAGCGAATCAAAACCTGTTTAATAAGGTTATCGTAACAGTACGTGCATATATCATGAATTCAGGGCTAACAAAGAAGCTGGTTCATCCTCAAGAAATTCAGACCAGAGAGGTGAAAAAAAATCGATAGATATCTTTCTCATGTTAACTACAACTGTATATACAAATTTACATGTATCTGCGGGAGCGGTCACATTGGAAGAACAGAAAGAAGGGCGTACCTCTGATTTTCTGAACATGCACCAAAAGCTTATGTCTAACGTGAACAAATGCTTTAAACAGTGCCATCGCTAGGCATCTCCTTGACACGAGTCATGAGTTGGACGTCGCAAGGTCGTTCAAAAATGTCAGCTGGCAAAAGAGTTCAATTCTCCTTAAGTATGCCGAAGCAATCTCCATCAACCACCTCAAACCCGATATATGTGATCAGGAAGAAGCAGTTATCAGTCTTTATTTGCACTGGTAACTGGATATTTTCACTTCTCTTTCATGTGATTACTTAATGCTGGAAGTTTCCATTGTGTATGATCATTATTGTTCGGAATATTGTTTAATACTATATATATATAGGTCATCAGTGAGTGATGAGTTTCATTAAACTAGATAGCTCTCCATCATGATAACCTTTTAATTATACGCCAGGTGTTTGTAAGTGATCGTCAGAAACCTGCCACAGGGAATCGATACAAATTCAAAACACTGGCGTTTGCATAAGAATGCAGTAGTTCAAGTTGCCACATTTCAGAAAGCTTACATAAAAGACAGCAAAAGTAATACAATGAATGTATAGTAAAGGATAGTGTACAGAAAGAAGAGTAACTACATGAATAATAATAATAAAAGATCTGTGTTTCAGTGAATGCACCTACACCATTCAAATTGATTTTTAGCCATACAATCAGCAATCTTCAACTGTCGATTCTTAGCCTATCCGTCTACAGCTCCATTACATGACTCAAAACATTGGTCAATAACTCTATGCATTCATCTCATGGTTTGGTTTGAACACCCTTAACTCTTTTCTAGCCAAATCCTATGTCAGCTAACGTTGCTCGATGAGGAAGGCGATGGCATGAGTGACACATATCCTAAGGGTCTAAACTCATAGATTGAATTTCCCTACTTACCTAATTCTATTTGATTTCATTCTACTTTTCGTGCCTATTAAAACTCCATAGTAGGCTATTTCTGTAACCTCAAAGAAGGTCAAGTTCGCTCAAAGGTTCAAACATTCTTCATAAAACTCATCGGTTAGAGATGTTGTCACTGAGTTAGTCATGCTCACAACAGACCTATAAGACGCATATTTCTGATCATCATGGATGATTTATTTCTAATATCACACAAACTCGAATGTTTTCGAAGCTAAAACCAAGTTAGCAGGAAAGGCAGATAGTGTAGATAGAATTTTAAATGAACACATATGAAACGAAAGCAATGAAGATGTGTAACCATTAACATCAAACATCAGTCACCATTAGCCCCAGATAGTATTCTAACGATACAAGACAAGGGTCAGGCAACAGATCGTTTATTATTATTCGTTATTTCTAGCAGAGAAGCAACCTATTCTGATTGGTTGTTTTCTTGCTGAAGGTTCTTGTGTATTACTTATAACCATTTCTTAGAAAGTTAAGCCACATATCTGCGAATCGTATTTGCACACGTTAAGTCTGCTGTGATTGGTTGTTGAGTTCCTCAAGGTTAAGCTTTGTTATTGTTTTTTCTCATGACCTTGATTTGGGAAGTAAACACTGACGTAAATTACTGTCTACCATTTTGGCTTGTAGACAGCTCTCACCACAGTATCATTTCAGCTACTGTTGGTACAGATGAGAATGTCAAAAGAAGGAGCACAAAAGCAAGACATACGTACATTATTATAAAATCTGTGTAGAGATTTACTGTACCCAGCATAGGGAAAAAGATTCGGATTTTCAGTATTAATCTGATGTCAGTCAATGCTTCTATATGGTTCAGACAGTTAACTCGCGCGTTACCGAAAGCATTTTCAACAGGCTGATTACTTTTATCAATAGCTGCCATCGCTTCACACAGAAGATTAGATGGCTGGTCAGAAGGAATAAGCATCATGGAATTCTACAAACTAAATATCACAAATGAGGGGTACCCAGACCTACATATATCTTCTAGTGGTTCCCCAACTGAAAATTTAAGAAAAAGCGGAGGTGTTACGACGGAATAACTAGCTTTGTTAGCCGTGAATTTATGATACTTAATAACCTGATTGAACAATTTTTGATTGGTTTATTTTAGAGGATCTTCAAGGTCACGCAATCAATCAGATATTAATTATCTATTAATTGTTTAAGTTTCAGTCGATGTGTAAGCAAAATTTGTTGTTGTTGTGTGGCTGTCACAGTTGAATCTGACTTCTGCGTCTATCTCAGTGTTGGGAATATATACTTCTGCACCTGTCTGGCGGTTTTCTTGTGTCTTCTTCTCTTTTCAAAGGTACTGCCTTCAACGAAGGCACTGATACAGTGCTGCTATCCTCTAATTATTCAGAATATTGCTAGCTCACCTGGTGAATAATAGAACCACCTTCGTCCTGAAGTCTACTAACAAGTTCAAAGTTGGTCTCATATACAACTGGAAAGGTCACAATTATGGTGTGTACTTACCGGTGACTTTGAAATTTTACAGACTTTCAAACACTTGATGAATCATTCACTGATAATTATCGTTCATTCTGCATCTCTTATGTTTCACGTCAGCACCTGTACAAAAATGCTACTTCCCTCCTACAATTAACGTAATCACTTATAATTCCATGTCCTTGACATTTAACTACGTTATAATCACAAACATTTTAGTTTTAATTGCATTTCATATTATTATTATTTTATGCATTCACACCTATATTCAATTCCCTCACTGGAATAACTTCTTAAAACGCGTGAAATTGACATACCGTATTTTTTGGATTACAGTTTAGGTTTGACGCTATATCATATGACTTATCATATTTATTTCCTCATTTGTACATTTCTTTTTAAATGTTTCTCGCACATTAACCAATGTTCAGTCTATTTCTAGATTAACAAATCAATATTATATATTCTATAAGTTCTAATTAGTGTACATATGTTCATGCATGTAAAAATGGCTGGTTTCTGTTCCAGAAATAAAATTATTATCATTATTATTTTCAAGCGATTAGCTGGCTATCATGTCGTGTCTACAGTCTTATTCTATCTAAGTCGAACGACAGTGACACTTCATTACAACATTAACCAACCAATAATCCATTTTTACTATTGAGTAACACCCGGCATCAGGCCTTCTAATGGAAGGGGAATAGGAAACAACGACTTGGGATTGAGTCAAAGGGTAGGAGTGGAGAAGACCATGTGAAGAGGAAATGAAGAGATGAAGGCAGTCAGTCATAGAGCCAACTGAAAAGGATTGCAGAAAATAGGGTCAAATAGAGATGTACTACTGAATTCCAATGTTCCAGTGGAAATGTAAGGAAATAATAATGATAACATAATCATATTTTGATTCAAACTCACTTTATCACTGTCAATTTTACACTGATCCTTGAAATTTAAACAACCAGAATTAAACTGTATAGCATTCTCACAATTAGTAAATATTGAATTCGGATTTGAACTTGATTGATTTAATAATAGTGGAGTGGGTTGTACACTGTTTGATGCAGGGGAACTACAAAAGAGAGAAAAAAAATCAGTAAATGACATACTCACAAAAACTGTTGTTAAATAAATATTATTTTTCATCTGTTATGATATAAAGTAGATTTCATTAGAACTATAAGGCTATTTCATTGTACTTTTGAACTCTACAAAATTAATAAGACAAAATAAGATTATGTTACAGGACTGGACTACACTGAATCCTAGCTTAGAAGTGGGGAGTGAAGTGGTAGAGCGTGTTGACCACTTCACTTATTTGGGAAATTGCGTCAGCCCTAACGGGTTGATCGCTGACGAAATCTCAGGACGGATACAGAGGGCTAATTTCGCATATGCCAGTTTACGCCATCTCTGGCGTAGACGTGATATGCGGCTGTCGACCAAAGGGCATGTGGACTGCTCAGCAGTCCACTCCGTCCTCCTTTATGGCTGTGAGCGAGACATGGCCATTGAGAGTGGAAGATATGAAAAGGCTGGCAGGCTGTCTGTGGTCCTAAGTGCCTGCGTTCTATTTCTCTTGTGAAGTGGTATAATAAGGTGAGCAATATTGGGGTTAGGCGTCGAGTGCTAGGTAGGTGGCAGGGGAAATCAATCGACGAGGCTGTGAAGTTACCTCGACTGAGATAGTTAGGACATTTGTTACCTATCCTTAGCCATCACCTTCCCCGACCGACGGGCAATGTTAGCTGACATAGGGTCACGTTGTAAAAGAGTTAGTGGTGGTCAAACCAAAACATGGCTTCATCAGTCAATGAAATCCACAACAGTTGAAGTCACGTAGGAAGGTGTAGACTGACTTCCTGATTGGGGTCCTCTGGATGGTAAGAACCAATGGCTGGAGACAATTGGTGATATGGCTCAAAATCGTTCTCAATGGCTGGTGCAGATGCATCCACTCTTTGTGACTTATAATACCTGATAAAACTATATTGCTCTTCGTTATTATATTCCTTTTGTCTCATATCCCTGTCTACTGTCTCTATTTTGTATTTCTTCTACTTTCTTCTGTTGCTTTGTGTGCTCATGGAGTGTGGCGACTTGAACTGCTGCACATTGGTGCAAATTTCTATGTTGAAAACAGGCAGACAGGCCTTATTTGTTCTTTATTTAACCATGCAATATGATATTAAGTAAGAAGATTATGAATGTGCCCAATGTCGTTAGTAATAATTAATCTTTCAATATTATGTAGAGCCGGATGAGAAAAGTATTGAGAAGAATATTCTTTGATGACCAGTCTTTTTTGTCTCCTAAATATTCAAATGAGAATTTTCGTTATTACTGAAATCTTCAAAAATTCAACATTATTAGTTTTACCTTATGAATTCTGTGAATTATAGAAAAAGAAAGAAATTTTGTCAACTATATTTTCAAAAGTTACTGTAATGAGTCAAATGCTTCAGAGTAAACTTCTTCATTGTGTTAGATTAAATGAATTGTGTTCACTATACTAACCGATTAACTTCTCAGCATAGAATTTCGTATATGAGTGAATACATCTGTGGTATTTGTGAATGATTTCCTATTATGTTAGATGGGATCTTCAAACTTTTTATTTTAAAGTATTTCAAGAACCCTTATCAAACAGTTGATATCTTTTAGTGGGATAATCAAGGATTTGTTTCAAATATGACCAGGGATGGATATCATTTAGAAAAACCATTGAAAATCAATAAGGAGTATACTGGACAACTATTTCGTCCTAGCTTGGGTTCGAATACAAGACTACTAAGCAGCTCGATCTTCAGATAGGACTCGATTTCTGCGGCTAGCATATGAATTCTAACTTCTACCAATTGGTGATTTTAGCGCAACCACCCACCAATGTCATCACTAACGGGTATATGTCCTCACACTCAACTTGGTGTGGACCTCAATGCTTACGACTTCTCACTTCTCATCCGGTCAAGTGTGAGGATGGATGTCCCACCGATGACATTGGTTGGGGTCGCGCTAAATCACGAATTGGTAGAAGTTAGAATTCATGGCTGGCCATTGAATCGGATCCCAGTGGCTGAATGGTATACGAGCCAGCTTGCCTTGTAACCAGTGGGTGCGTACTGCCGATGATTCCCAAACTAGGATGAAACAGCTGTCCAGTACTCCCTGCTGGTTTTCAATGGTTCTCTAACTGATATCAATCCGTGATCACCTCTTACAAACAAAACTAATCCTTACAAACCAACTAAAGAAAATTATGTAAGAATGTTGATGAATTTCAATGTATATTTCCTCACAAACCACCATCCGTTGAAGAAGCATTGAAAAGTAAGCTAAGAGAACTAGACAGCTATTTCGTCCCAATCTGGCTCTCTTCATTAGCGCAATACTCATTGACTCAACCAGTGATAGAAACTGCAACATTCAGATTATAAGGCTGGCCAATTGACCATTTATTCAGTGGATTAGAACTTGATAACCTAAATTATTATGCGGTGATCTTTAGTTTGAGACGAAATTTTTGGTTTTCATTAAATTAAATCTGGTCACTAACATTATTTAGCATTTCGTCATATCTTGAAATAAAGTTATCAATACAGTTTAATGCGTTTATAGGTAATCCTTAGTCAAAAACGATTAAATTATTGCATGGAGGATTTCATCATGAGCTGACATCAGTTAGAGAACCATTGGAAAACCATCACGGAGTACTGGACAGCTGTTTCGTCCTAGTTTGGGACTCTTCATCAGTACGCATCCCTGTGGGTTCTCTAACTGATATCAGCTCATGATGAAATCCTCCATGCAATCAAACAAAATCCCTACAAAACCAATACTTGAAAATTAAATTATTGTTGTTACTATTATTTTTCTAAACTCAATAACATACCATTCTGGGAACTGTTGGTTGAACATAATATTCCCTTTGAACACTGATGAGTTGAACTGTACTGGTTGTTGTTGTTGTGTGTTGTTGCTGATAGGGTTGGTAGTTATGATGATGATGATGATTTTGTTGATGTTGTCCATTACCTGGATTCAATGTTACATAATTTGAATATTTTTGTATTTGATTTTGTTGAATATTTAATACAGATGAAATTGATGTACATAATTCATTTAAACGAATTTGATTTTGTTGTATTAATGGTGATGGTTTATTCATTGTTTTATTTATTAGATTACTAATATCACCATTATTATTATTATTGTTAGTATTAACAGTAATATGTGTATTATTATTCGCATTATTTGTTAAAGTGCTACTTAAAACATTCCATTTTGGTGATATTTGACAATGATGATTACTATTGAACACATTGAATGATGTTGATATTGGCGGTATCGTTGAAGTGGTTATTGTTGATGATATCGACGACGACGGTGTCAATGTTGTTATCGATGCTGTTGGTGATGTTGGTGTCATAGATGAATATACTCCAATGGAATTATGATCTATGCATGAATTGAAACAATCATGTGTTGACAGTTTTATACCTTTTAATTCTTTAATTGAATTTATTCTATCTGAATGATGATGATGATTATTGAATTGATGATTTGATGATAATATTGATTGATTATTGATTAATAACGATGATGGTGATAAAGGAAATGTATTTGATGGATTGATTTGATGTTTTTTATTTATTAAATTCATTGAATTTATTATATTTGATAATGATAAGGGTGCTGCGGCTGCTACTGATGATGATGAAAGGAGGTATGAATTCGATGCTGGAGTCATCGATACTGGTGATGACAATAATGAAGATGATGTTGATGAAGATGTCGACGATGAGGACAGTGCATTCGTCGGTATAGACAATCGTGAACATGTTGATGTATTCAATGGATTTAGGAAATAATTTGTAAATGATGAAAAAGCTAAATTATTATTATTATTGTTATTATTACTATTATTATTAATGTGATTAATAGTATTATTATTAATACTATTATTATTATGATTAGGCGTAATTATTCCATTACTGTTACGATTCAATTTTAAATTTTCATTTTTATCAACTGGTTTTGCCCAAGTTACTTCAATCTGTGATCCATCGAATAATGTACCTATTTTTTGGTGAAAAGAAATTATAGAAAAGCTAGAAATTTATTTTTAAATAGTTTAAAGTACTATTTATAAATATTTAGACTATTTGTATTACAAATTTGTTTGATTGGCTTGAGGATTTCATCATGAGCTGATATCAATTGGCGAATAAATGAAAAACCATCGGGGAGTACTGGATAGTTAGCTGCTTCGGCAGTCCAGTTTGGAACTCTTCAGCAGTGTGCACCGGCCAGGGCTCGAACCCAGGATCTCCAGGTTGCAGGGCGTTCTCGTGGACTATTATGCCACTGGGATCCGCTACACTGCCCATGAGTTCTAACTTCTGCATTCTGATAAAGTGTCCCAAACTAGACTGACGAAACAGCTATACAGTACTCCCTGCTAGTTTTCCAACGGTTCTCTAACTGATGTCAGCTCATGATGAAATCCTCCAACGGATACACTATTCAACAAAAATTTATTTCATACATTTATTCCCCTTAATCAATTTGAATAAAGCAAGAACAACAGTTTTTGCAGAATAAAATGGTACCATCATATATTACGTTGGCTTCTCATCAGCTGCTTTCAGGCCGAAGTCATTATTAAGTATATCTACAGAAGTCACTAGGCAGAGCCTATCCTGCAGCTGAGCTGGTTTCCATCTATCGAACAACATGCTCCTTGTTGCAATCAAAAATCGATAGATATCCTTCTCATGTAAACTCCAACTGTTTATACAAAATTTACGTGTATCTGCAGGAGTGGTTACATTGGAAGAACAGAAAGAAGGGCATACCTCCGATTTTCTGAACATGTACCAAAAAGCTTATGTCTAAAGGGAACAAATGCTTGGAACAGTGCCATCGCTAGGCATCTCCTTGACACGGGTCATGAGTTGGAGATTGCAAGATCGTTCAAAATTATCAACAGGCAAAAGAGTTCAATTCTCCTTAGGTTTGCCTAAGCAATCTCTATCAACCGCCTGAAATCCAATTTATGCATTCAGAAAGCAGTTATCAGTCCTCCCTTGTCCTGGTAATAATGATAATTTGCTTTATTCCAGAAACAGTACCAGTGGTACAGTGTGGAATTTTCAGCACATATCTACAATATTTGCATCTAATTTTACAAACATTTAAAAGGACTATTAAACAAACAAAAAAATATCTAAAGACACCAAACAAAAAAACAGGATAAACACAAAATAATTATAAATGCGAAAAAGTACCAAGAAGTAGAAAGGAAAATAAACATCATATGATAATAACTCAGTATTGGGTAGTGGAGGCAATGATATGATTATGCATGGTGACAGTAAAGCTATAGTCACACGAGAAGTTATGAAATGATATTTAAGAATGTTTATCGCCAAGATGGTTAATTTGATTGAAACAACTCTAAACAATCATAAAATAACATTTCAGGGTTGTTGTTTTTTATTGTCAGGTCTAATGCAGTGTTTGTAGTGGTAGTGTGAGTAATCCTGAATAATACAAAATTTTTTTAAGGTGGTGACTATGGCGTTTCACAACCAATGATTGTCAGTTTAATATTGCCGAAAAGTATAGAAAATAAGAAAAAACAACCACAAAACTAATAATTACATGATGGTTAATGACAGGGAAATTTTGTACTACTTATAGTGCTAATATAGTCGGAACCAGTGGATACACAAAAGAAGGAATACAGTAAAGTACAAAAAGTAAGCCAATGTTAATAATTTAGGTAGCTAAGTATGTTTAAGAAGGAGTTCACTATAGAATACAAATAAGAGAGAAATAAAAGAGCCTAAAATTATGATTATTAGCAACAAAGCAAGTCATAAGTTTCGCGCTTAACATTGTCTCAGTCGCTTAGAACACGGGCCAAGTATGGTATCGTTGAGTTCCTGTACTTGGTTGTACTAGCATATATTATTTTGTACTGCTTTCTAGTTCTACCTGATGAGATACAAGGCGAGAGTTGAAAATAGAGGGGGTGTTGGGGGTCGGAGAGTTTGGTTTTAGACCATTTTCCGCATGTATTCAGATGCCTATCAACTAATGTAGTGACGAGCTGACTGAGTTTTACACCACTAGTCCTACTGACTACCTGCAACATCCTTCTCAGGATGGTATGGTCCTTTTTCAGTAGACCAGGAAAGACTAACGGGGAGCAGTAAAGTAGAATAGGTAAGATACAAGAGTTGACAAATTTTGAAAGTAGAGGTTGGGTGATTGTCTAAGTCTCTTAATGTAGTAGGTAAGACAAAACACTTTCTTAGAAATCGTTAGGATATGAGATGTCCAAGTAAGGTCGGAAGATAGAACTAGACCGAGGTATTTTCCATTAGACTGAATGTTGTCATTCTCTATTTCATGTGATTACGTAACGTTGAAAGTTTCCAGTGTGTATGATCATTATTGTTCAGGATAGAGTGACTTTTATTATTATTATTACTAACATTGAATGCATATATTGATTGATCGATTTTTGTTCAAAATGAACTCTCTGCAAGTATGTAAAAATTGTTTCTGTAGATATACTAAATAATGACTTTGGTATGTAAGCAGCTGATGAGAAGTTAACGAAATAAATGATGGCATCATTTTATTTTGCAAAAACCACTGTTGTTCTTGCTTTATTCAAACAAATTTATTATCAAGCTGTAGAATCGTATATACATGTGAGGAAATTAAAAAAAAGGTGTGAATATATATAAATTAATAATAGTATTGATACAATTCAAATGTTTGTGATTAAAATCGTAGCTAAATATCAAACGTCAATTGGTAAAGAAAATAATATCACATGGAGAATAATTTATAGGATGTATAGATGTTGGAAAGGGATGTAGAATAATAGAAAATCGATTGAGAGAATTTTCTCACTACTAGTAAGATGCAGCTGATACTTTCATACGACCCTCTGTGATTCTTCAACTGAAAGACGAAATGCCTCAGCTTGTCACCTATATTAATACAGTCGCTTCTATGGAGATAGTTATGTTGGCCGTTGGTCTAAGAAGCTAATTTTCTGTGCTTGGGAACGCCTACAATTGTGGTTAAATGAAGGTGTAGTTAAAACTACCAGGACTTCGATTTTAGACTAATTCGTCTTTACAGGCGATAAAGCTGGTATTGAAGAATCTTCGTCAGACATGTATCGGATAATGCATTTAAGCGAACAATATTGTGCTTTCAATTAGATCTCATCAGGCTTAACTCTAATATGCATAACTTTACAAATAAAAATTCAAATATAAACCAGTCACGGTGCTTTGTCTGTAGCATAATAAGATTCCATAATGGATAAGATTTTATTTTGATAAATCACACAGTGTATTACAGTTATATTAACTGATGACGTTTCGAGCACAAACTATTGCTCATAATCAGTTAATATAACTGTAATACACTGTGTGATTTATCAAAATAAAATCTTATCCATTATGGAATTATACTCTACCACAGTGCCCAAGTTTTATACTTATATCAAGGATAATAAGATGGTGAATATAAATTGTGCGATTAGTCATAATAATAATAATGGTGGTTTTACCAATAATAGGGATGGAAAAGTGAGGCAATCTGTGATAGCAAGAATAACGGAAAACAGCATGATTAAACAAACAAATTTTCAGGTTGAAGTAGTCCTAAATGCTAAGAAAAGCAAATGGACCGATTAAGTAATGCTAGATTGTAAGGGAAGTAAATGAAACACGTTTTTAATGAAGATGTGATAAGATTAAGGGATGATAAGAGAGGGGTTGAAAATATAAGTAAGGAGTGGTTTAGAAGTCATCAGTTGGTTATGTCTTAATATACCAAGGAAGGATAATGGTTGCACGAACTTCTTTTGAATGCCTAGTTCAGGTTTAATAGTTCGAATGTCTATCGCCTCAGCTGTGTGCAGCAGACGAATACGAAGTCTACTGGAAAGATTCAATGGGATACGACGAATAACCTTGAAAGCCTTCGTTTTCTCCACTACACGACCACTATCAACTAAATGTAACAAAAGTGAGCTAAGGATTGATTTTGTCTGTCCTTTGCCAAACCACGATTGGAGATGTTCAGTAATAACACGTTGGCTAAGCTGTCTAGTAGTACGCCTAACATAACTGTTATCGCAGGTGCAGTTGAATTGATAAATGCACATAGATGTGGCAAAACTATCTAGCTTATCCTTCGTTTGCGTCCCAATCATTCGTAGGCTAGAGAATGACAAACAGGTATGCTGCGTAAAACGTTCTTCGTATACTCCTGGAAAGTTTCTGGAATAAAATCTCACTTGATAAGTCACCATTAAATTGTAACTTAATAAACAGAGGTTTTGACGTGCAGTCATCGTCTCAAGTTTTCTCTCTAATGTTTTCATATGTTTCTTTATGAAACTACTGGGATAGCCCATCTCCGTCAAGGAATCGTGAATATATTCAAATTCCTTTTGTAAGAGGTCATCCGTACATATCTTTCTTGCTCTGCTCGTAAGACATTTGACAACATTTCTTTTATATTTAATGGGTAGGTAACTAAGGAAGTGTGTGTATTGCCCTGTGAATGTGCTTTTCTATACACGCTTCTCTCAAGTGACCCATCTTCTCGCCACCCAGAAAATGCAGTTAACTATCCTGCTCTTCTTCACAAGTAAAAGTAAGCGAAGGGTGGACGTTGTTGAATTTCATCAACAATTCGTCTATGTTTGCATTCCCACAAGATAAGTTACCAAAGCCTTCAGACAGTGAATTCGCCAAACAGCAGAGGTCATTGTAATTTGCTTAAAACAACCAAAGTTGTTGATAGTGCAAAAGAAACAGGTCCAGTCAATACTGCTAACCTGATCTACTGTGGAACCTGGAAATTCATTAATTCTGTATTATTTCCCTTAATTTATCTGATATTCAGTTTCGTGTTATATTGACGCATGATATCACCCATAGATGCTTCAGAACTGTAATCTACTGATATTATTGATTCATTAATGTTGTTTATAACAATAATTCTTTAATTATTATGGATACGCATAACTTTACAACCTGATGAAAAGCAACTGATCGAAAAGAATACTCTTTATTCACTCATAATCAGTCTTATAAAACGCCTATCAGGGATCTTTAATCAATTCAGGTTGGTTATTAAGTATTCATTTTTTGTATTTAAGAAGTATAGATTAGCCTTAAATCAGTAGTATAATATGTCTATTTCAAATTTAGTTACTTAAATATCAACAATTTAAACAACAGTTATAATGATTCAATGGTTTCAATGTAAAAAAAAGAAATTTAAACGAATTACTAGAGTTATTCATTTAAATTCTTTTAACTATTTATTGATTGAGTTACTATTTTTTTGTTCACTTTTTTGAATTCTTAAAAAGCTTAGTTAATCGTCAATAAAATAACCTAAATATTTGAATTCTATGTAAAGTTATTTCTTAAAAATGACAATTTATCCGTAAACTGTGTTTGAATGCATCATTTACTTCTTTTTTTGTTGTTCTTCGTCCTTTGTTTTTGCTTTTTTTGAAATCTTTTCTCTTTAAACAATGAGCATAATAATAATAATAAAAATAATAACGATAATAATTTTGATTTCTTAAAATACGTTTAAATGAATGTTGATTTGGATAAAATATCATATCAAATTGAGTAGTTTAGTAGTATTGATAACTTTCTATTCTTAATCGATATAATTTCAGCAAAAAACACCCCAGCAATTCCTCAGATTGTATATTTACGTCACTCACTTGAAGAAATTTAAAGAACGAATCAAACTGAACTGGATACGAAAGCTTTATTCACTATTTCCTGGTTAATCACAGTGAAAGCTGATTTATTCTTAAGATATATGAAACAGAAAGGGCATAAGTGTTGTGTAACCGCAGCGCGGAATGGGGTAACTGCTGGAGTTTTTTCCCGCTTGAAAAACTTCTCGTCAACTACGGACTATCACCACAAGTTAAGTAGGAATGTATAAGTTTCACAGGCGAGGTTTTATGATGACCCACATTTCCTAAGTTTGAAAGACAGCATAACTGGCTTCCTAGTCGTTCAAAGGAAACTTCTTACAACTGTTAGACTCTTGTCTGATAGCAGTACGACTACGCCTTGTTACTGATATGATAAGAAATTGTATTAAGTTACCTAGATTATTGTTCGTTATTTGTGTTCCGAATGAAAAATGGAGCTTCGGTATCACATCTCCTTTATACTCTATCTCTCGCCATCATTTTCAGTTGACTCTAAAACTACCTGCAAGCTGTCATTTCCTCCACGTCACTCTAGGACGCCTAACTCATCGCTTCTCATTCAGGTTATCTTAAGAACCTGTTGTGTGAACGTCTCGTCAGTGTATGTTCATTCCATTTCCATTTCTGCCTGCATATATTTTCGGCAATACGATGATGCCTGGTTAGTTGTCATAGTTCTTAGTTGTATTTCCTTTCCAGAATGTTCAGATATTTCCTAATTAAATAAGTGGCTAGTATCGATCATACCTACTAGTAATTTGATCACAGTTACCTAGACGCTGAATGAAAGTAACCATTTTCTTCGAAAGCAGGAAGGCTATTTTCTCATTGATATAATTTCTACACGACATTCATATAAGAAAAGAAATCAAAAACCTGAAGTGTTTGATACTGCTTTGTTTTTGTTTTTCTCTTCAGCTACTTTTAAATTGTAAGTAGTATAGTTACGAGTGTATTGTTTTTTGATTTTCACACAAGTGTGTGATTAACGTGATATGATTATGAGCAATAAATTTTACTCGAAACATCATCAGTAAATATTACTGTATAACACTGTGGGACTTTATCAAAATCAATAATTTTATCTACAGTGAGAATATGTAGCTTGTATATCCTATTTAAGTCCTTAGAATAGGAAAAAAATAATGTCACATCACACTCGGCGCCCAATTATTTTGGAACTATTCGGTCAAATCTTGATCACAGTTCATATGAACTGTTTTTATCAGTTTAAATGTATGTATGGTGGCATATACATAGGGACGACTCATTGGTCTCTTCAAGTAAGAGTTTTAAAGAGTACTGAATCTTTTGAAATTAATAATGGTATGAAGTCATGGCTAACTTCATCCACTGCGTGAAATATTGTAGTTGAAAGGCAAAAAATTGATGTTAATACGTCTTAAAGTCTGATTATAAAACGTGTTGGGCACGTATATGGAAGTTCTAGGGATAGGCAATTTCAAGTTGCATTCATCAGTTCACAAACAATTTTTCTGTCCTCTCACTCCTAAAATAATTGTTATTAATTCGTCCTTGACTCATGTCACCAAAAGATGAAAACTTTTGGTTCTTAACTTCTCAAAGACCCCAACCAAGTAGTCTAAACCTCCCGAGGTGGCTCCAACTAACTACCAAGGACTTCGTAGATTGATTTTATGTTTCTGTTTGATCATGGCAAATAAGCTTCTCGACGGTTTGAAATGCATAACACGTGTCTTATTCTTCTCAATCAATCAGCTTCACAAGCTTATCAACTGACTTACCTGCCCTCCTTAACGAACAGTTTTTGCCTTACCTCAATATAACCCAATATATTTTACCCCTCAACACAAAAGATAGAGTGTAGAGACCTGAGGTGAAAGATAACTAGTCTATTCGTATCTTTGGCTTTCAACAGTCATGTCTCACAGTCCTTAAGATAAACATGGTGAACTATAGCTCAGTACACACGTTTGTGAGTCGCCAACAGGAAATCATGTCTATGCTAAAGATGACTCCCTTTTTGATGTCGTGAATTGGCAGAAGTTAGAATTCAAGGACCATTGGATCGGGTCCCAGTGGCTCAATGGTCTACGAGCTCTAGTGGCAAATGCTACATAAGCCTTTCGTGGGTGAAATATCCCTTTGAAAACTCAAAAGAAAACTGTAATATAAGCACAAATAATACTTACCATCTAATTGACGAAGTGCTGTTGTCGCTTGTAAACGATCACGAAAATGTACAAATGCATAGTCACGAATTTTTTTCACCCGTTCAACAGCATCAACTGCACCAATAGCTTGATTGAAATGATCTTTAACAGCATCTTCTGTTGTATGTAACATTAAATTTCTTACATATAATATACGAACCTATATAAAAAAAGAAATAAGAATAAACGAAATACTACCGATTAATAGTTATATTAAATGTTAGAGATGTGAATACAAACTAATAACAATTAAAGACAAAAGAAAGTTCGGGCGAAGAATATCCTTTGTGATAACTTCCTGGTCTGGCTCTAAAATCATATATATACAATATTTAATAATAATCTGATGCTCACTAGCGACTGGCCCTATTCAGGCAGTTAACCTAGGGTTCTAGTGAGAAGCTATGACCAGTAGGGTACAGCAGGTTGAAGGTGAGGCAGTAACTCATCGAAGAAAACATTGGGAAGTGGTTGCGCTATGTCATGAATTGGCAGAAGTTAGAATTCATGGACTGGCCATTGGATCGGATCCGAGTGGTTTAATGGTCTACGAGCTAGCTCGCCTTGCAACCAGAAGGTCGTGGGTTCAAACCCTGTCTGTGAGTGAGTGATGCTGAAGAGTTCCATTCTAAAACAAAACGGCTGCTGTTTAATACTTCCTTTGTCTGGTTTTCCAATGGTTCTCTAACTGATGTCGTCTTATGATGAAATTCTCCAAACAGTTAAGAATAATCGTTATTACCAACAATGGTGTTCTTAAATAATATTGAGTTTTTAAGATGAATAGAAGTGCTGTTCAAAAAACATATGTAAGGGTCAATAAGCATATAAAAAATATAATAATTAATTGAATATCAGATAAAATTAAGAAGGAAATTAATGTGACAATTGAAGATAGTTAAAACAATGATGGTGAAGGTAGGGAAAGTGTTTGAATGAACATATAAGTTAGGCTTCTTCAGGTGGATTCCAACAACTTCACCTGTATATAAAACACGAATTCTTAAGGCAAAATTGAGATTAGTTGGAATACTGTAGATTGCTTTAAAAGCCTTTTTAACATCGATTTTGTTTATTTTCAGTATCTACAAGATGAGCTAAACTCGAGATGCAAGTTGATGTTGTCTGTCCCTTCCTTAACCATGAAGAATGATGTTTGGGAATCCAGTGATGAACACGTCTAAATGTAGGCCTAGTGTAACTGGTTCCACAGGATCAGTTCAACTGATAGATACACATAAATGAGGGAAAATTAACTAGTTTATCCTTATCTCTTCATACTACTTGTAAGCAGTTCTATTGTGGACGTGGAACTCGACAAATCAGTGAAACACAACGCTTAAGGAATACAGTGAAAAGAGCATTCAGTGCTACAGAAGTTCACCGCCTTTTCACAAATACTCCAAATTCACATTCTAGGGTTAAAAATAGACTACCTAATTTTGTCTCCGTTATGTCTACCTCTCAGTTTATCTGCTCCTGTGGAGGCGGTACGTAATTATACAGGTCTATTGTCGGATTCCTTAATATCATCCTGAATGGTTACGCAAGCGACAGGTAAGATTTATTCGCAGCTCTATTCTAGTTCATCTTGTAGTTACCGAAAACAAACAAAATCGATGTTAACAAGACTTTTAAAGCAATCTACCGCATTCCGACATATCTTAGTTTTACCTTACGAGTTTGTCTTTTACATATATTGCTAAAGCTTAACTATTCTTTGCTGAATCTTCCCTAAATAGTCTTCTAAATGTCTGAATGCCGGTTGCCATTTAAAGAATCATTGAAAACCAAACAGCATCACTAGACAGATGATCAATCCTAGTTTAGGACTTCTGAGTAATGACTGTCCACAAACCCACCAGGGAGAAAATTCAGGATCCTCAGAGTAACAGACTAGTCTTCTAACCATTCAGCCATTGGGGGTGATAATTTAACGACTCGTGAATTCGAACTCTTATCAATTTTCAATATTATATACTACCAGGAATCAGCGTCACCGACCAGTATCCGCTTCACCCTGTTAGTGTTAGATTCCACCAATCACACAATATTACCAGATTGTGGATCGACAAAAGTTATACTTCATGGGTCATTGAATCCTAATTTAATAGCTGAAAAGCCAATTGGTTGGTCTCATAACCGGAAAGTGTTGACCTCAGCTCCTGAAAGGGAACATAGAAGGATGATTCAGCTGTCCATTAGCTGTTACCTGATTTTCAAAGAGATTCTAATGTAGATTTCTGATGAAATCTATAGTAAGAGTAATATAAATTATCACAGAATAAATTAGTCAACATAATGTATCGTTGTACTACTTGCAACCATTAGTAGTTTATATTTTTTCATTAAAAAATCTTCACCTTTCTGTAGGTAAGATAAAAACTAAAATAAGACATACTCTCTAATATATATAGATTTAAATAAAAAGATGAAATTTTTACCAAAGATTGTGATCTCTGTATGTGTGTTCAACGATAACTTTAAAATCATCATAAAATTGTTGAAAATAAACCCAGCCTAAATCAAATCTACAATTTGCAAATTAATTTACACTTTACACAGTTCGAGGGGAAAGTCAACAAAAGTTCCTTCTGCAAGGCGTAATTTCCAAGAGTTACTTTGTAGGGATTTGATCTGATTTTCAAGTTTGATCACGGATTGATATCAGTTTGAGTACTATTGAAAACTAGCCACACACTGTGAGTACTGGACAGCTGTTTCGTTGTAGTTTGAAACTCACCAGCAGTACAGATTCACCAAGGTTCAAACTCAGGATGTTACGACTACTAGACGAGGTCGTAGACTATTCAGCCACTAGGTCCCAACTTATTGGTCAGCAGATGAATTCTGACCTTTACCAATTTGTGATTTTGGAGCAACTATCAGCCAGTGTCATTGGTGAGTACTTGTTCTCACGCCCGAAATGGTGGACCCCAGTGGTCACAACTTCTCATTAGAACTTCTGGGCTCGAACGCCAGTGGTTGCGTACTGCTGAAACAGCTATCCAGTGTTCCCTGTTGGTTTTGAATGGTTCTCTAAGTGATATCAGTCCCTAGTCAAACTTGATAGGAAATCGAAATTATTTTAGATTAGAATATGCCATCTTCTTGATACCGAAAGTGGTAATCAAGAAGGTGAGGACATTGCTAAATCTACTACTGAATGATTGAGAGGAGTGGTTGTACATTACTCACATCAACAAGTAGTTCTTACTAGCCAAATCGATGTAATCTAAATACTGATGTTTAGATTGATGTGAGTAGTATACGACTACTCTTCTCGATCACTCAGTAGTATATAGTTTTATGTAAATAATCCTAGCTTATTCAGGAAATCGAAACAATGCTTTTATGAAAGTTTCGGCTTATATATATTTCACAGTTCTTTCAGAAGAATTTTGTTGCTACAATTATTATAAATAATTTGATAATGACTCTGTCACACTAGGTGCTCAAATTATTTTGATATTATTATGATGTTAATATCGTTGATAACAAAAGTGGTAGGTATATCGCTCTTGGACACAAATGCTTTCCACACAGATAAAACAGCACACTCCAGCATGTTTTCACAAGGAAGAAAGGAAGGTGTGTGCAAAAAGCTGTATTCTAGAACATTCGATCGACTTCTCTTACTCTGTTCACCCTGATCATGATTTTAAGGTCATCTATTGAATTCATGCTAACTTACCACATTTTCTTCGTTCTAAATTTCTAAAGACAATGGAGACCTTAACCATAAATGAATTCAAATCAAACTATTGTATTTTACAAAAGAAGTAGGTACAGTCCACATTTATTTCTTAACTGTATAGGGGATAGGGATAAACAGGGACTTATTCATTTTGTTTATTTGATCTATATACCTTTCTTTTATTACTACAATGGCTATTATTATTATTTTTTGATTACAGCTTGATGCCATACCATATTTTCAGTACAAGTATGGCATTTTCAGGATGGATATCGGTAGCCCAAATTTTGCAGGCCGACCGTAGATATCGGGTATGCATCGGCAGGGGATCGAACCCCGGACCATATGCATGGTCAGTGAGAGTCCTAACCATTGTGCAACCGACGCACACACACTTTGAATTGTTTTCGATATTATTTAACTTATCCCATTCATTAATTTAGATCAATAAACATTTTGTAATGTTAAATTCTATTTTATCAAACTTCTCACCATGTTTCATAATGTTTTAATTGCCCATAAAATCTTATTCATCCTATAATTCTGACTGACTGGTTTCAACGTAGAAATTTTCACCGATGTGCAGCAGTTCGAACTGCCACTCTCTCTTCATGTAGCACACAAAGCAAGCGAAGGAAGTAAAAAGAGATTCAAAACAGAGATAATAAACAGAGATTTGAGGTAAAAAGAATAGTAATATGGAAGAATAGTATAGTTTTATTGGATATTATAAGTCACAAGGAGTGGTTGCATCTGCGCCAGTCAAAAGACTTTTGAATCGCCCACCACCTGGATTATCTCCAGAAGAACAAGCAATAGCAAACAAAGAGCTGCTAGTGAGCACCTGTCCTTCAACAAACGCAGAAGTCTTAAATGCAGCCAAGATATTTGAAAGCTGGAAGGGCAATGAGACCAAACAGAACTCCCCCTGAAGCGCTAAAAACCGACCCAGAGACTGCAGTGGATATGTTGACACCATTAGGGCAAAAGGTTTGGAAGGTAAGGAAGGTGCCTGCTGACCGGAAACAAAGCTACCTTGTCAAGCTACCAAAGACGGGCGACTAAAGCCTCTGCCAGAGCTGGCTTGGAATAAAGCTCTTGCCGACGCCAAGTAAAATACTAAGTTGCGTCATCCTGGAGGGAATAAAAGACGCACTGGACTCAGAACTCCTTCCAGAACAAGCTGGATTCAAGAAAGTCAAGTCATGTGTTGATCAAATTGCAACTCAACGCATTGTCATAGAACAAAACATTGAATGGCACTGAAATTTCTGTCTCAATTTCTTCAACTGTGAAAAAAATTCGGACACTGCTTCAAGTCTTTATCAACTTCATTCAACAGCTATGTGACAATGCTATGTGTCAGGTGGTTCATAACGAAGAACTCAGCGAAGACTTTGAAGTGAATACAAAAGTAAGACAAGACTGTCACCGATATTCCTGATTGTGGTGGACTGGTGAATTACGTAGAAGACTGTGAGGAATAACAAGACAAGAATAGTTAAACCGGTGAGAAGACTATAACAGCTCTGAATTTCGCGGATAATTATGTCTAATGTCACGCAAACTCGAAATCTTACAGGCAAAAACCTACAAACTGACTGAAGAAGCAGCAAAGATGGAGGTGATGAAGATAACCAACTAACAACAACAAGCACCAGTCACTGTTAGCGGGGGAAATTTCAAGCGATCACTTCCTTCACTTGTCTGGCTAAGCAGTATCGTTTCAAACGCTGGAACTCGGAAAGGATGAGGATGTCAAAGCCAGCCAGAATCGGAAAGGCAAGACAGACCATTATCACTCTGAAACCAGTTTGAAAGTATACTGCTGTCACTCAGCAGCATCGCGAACAATATTCGGATTCTGTTCAACACAAATGTGAATTAAGTCAGTTCTTCAATTTGAATCTGAAACTTGACGAGTCATGAGAAGCACTTCGAACAGGTAGTTGCAGACTTTTATCCACAGCTGGCCACTTTACTGGCTCCATCCTGAAGATAAAATGACCAGCCAACCAGAAAAAATTAGCAACAAGAAACTCTGGCTGGGAACATATCAAACCAAGAGCCTATTGCACAACAAATATGTAGGAGAAAATGGAGATGGATCGGAGAGACGTCAAGGAGGCCGTCGAATGATATCACTCTCCAGGCCATAGCCCGAGTGTAACCCGAGTGGGATACAAGGAGCTGGGTGTTCGTCCTAGGATGATATGGAGGAGATCGTGTGGCAAGGAGGAGATGAGAGACTTTGGGTAACCATAGAGCCAGCTAAAGAGGATAAAGTGAAGATGTGCTGTTGAAGCCGTATTTTCCACTCAGTACTCAAGGGAACAATAATAATATTAATAATAAAATAACTTAAAAATGCATTTCCTATCAACTTGAAGTCTTTCATCAGATAAATGAAATAAAACTTGGCTGCTTACTAATTTGTTTGGTCTTTTCCATTTTTATCTTTGACATTATCATTATTACTATTATTTTGATGAAGATAATCGCGTAAAATGCACTTACCAATATTCTGTGTATTTTATTTTTTTGTAAAACGTTATACTACTTGTGATTGTTAGTAGTTTATAGAAAGCAACAATTGTCAATAAAGTAGGATTTAATGGGTTCATCAGATTTCCGTAGGATCGTTTAGTTCTGAATACTCTACATACATTCCGTCGGTCGGTCGGTTTTCGACATAGAACTTTGCACATATGTGCGCCAGTTCAAGTCGACACACTTCACTCAGCGCACAAAGCAAGAGAAGAAAGTAGGAGAAATGCATAATAATGACAGTAAACAGAGGTGTAAGACAAAGGAATAGTAATGATGAAGAACAAAACAGTTTCATTGGAAATCATAAGTCACAAGGGGTGGATGCATCTGCGTCACTGAGAACGATTTTGAACCCCATCACCAATTGTTTCCAGCCGTTGGTTTTTACCGTCCCGAAGACCCCAATCAGGAGGTCAACACCTTCCTACGTGGCTTAAACTAACTGTTGAAGATTTCATTGACTGATGAAGTCATGTTTTTGTTTGACCAACACTAGGTCTTTTTCAACCTGATCCTATGTCAGCTAATATTGCCCATTGTCGAGGAAGGGGATGACTAGGCATACGTAACACATGTCCTAACCATCTCCGTAGATGTAATTTCACAGTCTCGTGGATTGATTTCCCCTCCTTACCTAGCACTCAACTGAGGCCTAACCTCAATATTGCTCACCTTATTATACCACTTCACACGGGAGATAGAACGCAGACACCTATGATCAAAGACAGCTAACCTTTTCATGTCTTCCGCTCTCAATGGCCAGGTCTCACAGCCATAAAGGAGGACGGAGCGGACTGTTGAGCAGTACACACGCCCTTTGGTCGATAGTCAGATATCGCGTCTACGCCAAAGACGGCGTAAACTGGCATATGCGAAACTAGCCCTCTGTATTTGTGCTGAGATTTCGTCGGAGATCAACCCGTTGGGGCAGCTGATAAATAAACTACAGTGAACCACAGGAGGAAAATTTATTGGGGAAATTAAACTCATACCATGCTGTTCTGAACTACATAATAGAAAAGACGTAAAGGATCAGTGACACAGTAGAAATATCCAATAAATATGAACGCGCACTTTAAAAGCTTTGTTCTCATCCAGTACAGAAAGCAAGTGCTTAAAATAATAATCAATTGAGCACGGAAAATCTGTTCTGACAGTAAAATTGAGTATAAAACAAACACCGTGAATAATATTTTATCTAAGAATGGATAACCTGAGAGATTTAGGAATAAGTATTCTAAAGAAATAGGAGCCAGTAAAACGTTTCCAACCAATAGAAGAAAGTCATTCTGCCATTTTGAAGGAGTTGATGTACAAGAAGTAGTCAAATGAAGACTGGATAAAGCTATTCGAAGGAAAAAAATTATGCTGCAAAGCTTGTATTCCTTAACATTACTATGTGGGTACTTCAACAATCTGGGAAAATCAGGTCACCAGTTGTCGATACTTCTAACTGCGTAAACCAGTTTGAGTACCTTTATGGAAGCATATATGTATTTCATAAGGAAAGTTTAGAGCGTTAGTCCCAGTGTTTGGAAAACTGTTAAGGTACCAAAACTTTCAATTACAAGACATCTTATTGATTATAAACATAATATTGACTGCAATCAATTTGTTCTCTGCTGTCAGTACACAAACAAGCGGAAAGATGCTTGCAACTGAGTAAGCTTGTGTAACTGTAATCTATACGTCTCTGTGTAAAGAAGGAAATGATGGTCCCTTCGAATTTAGCATGGTAGTAGGTCTTACTTATTAACTTTTATTATTAATATTTTATTCCATCTCTTATTGTTTCAGTTAAAACTATCTTTCGTCATTACCATTATCTTGACGCATTTCAACATTATGATTACTACTCACTTTGCAATTCCTGATATTTTCAAGTTATCATAATGATGTAAGTAACTCGTAATCCATTATAATCTTAATATTATTCTGCCATACGCCCTCCCTCTTATCTATCTAACCCTGACGTTTGAAATATTCTCACCAGTCATTCTGTGTGACTGATTCACTGTAGTTTATTTATGAGTCACAAATCTGGTTGTTTTTCTAACAGAGTAGAGTATTCAGCAGTTGACGAGTTCTGCAGAAATTTGGTGAATTTATTCATTCCTGCTTTGATTGGATGGAAGATTTCATCATGAGCTGACATCAGTTAGAGAACCACTGGAAAACCTGGGAGTACTGGACAACTGTTTCGTCAGTTTGGGACTCTTCATAAGTACGCACCCACCGGGGTTCGAACCCAGGACCTTCCGGTTACAAGGCTAGCTCGTAGACCTAATCCAATGGCCAGTCCATGAATTCTAACTTCTGCCAATTCATGACATGGCGCGACCATTTCGTAATGTCTTCTTCGATGGTCTACGAGCTAGCCTTGTAACCGGAAGGTCTTGAGTTCGAACCCCGGTGGATGCGTACTTATAAAGAGTCCCAAACCAGGACGAAACAGATGTCCAGTACTCTCCGAGGTTTTCCAGTGGTTCTCTAACTGATGTCACCTCATGATGAAATCCTCCATCCAATCAAACAAAATCCCTACAAAACCAATACTTGAAAATTCCTGCTTTGTCAACATTTTGTTGCTTGTTTTATTCCTATGAAAAACTGTACTCAACAACTGTAATGATTGTAAAAAAATCGTATGGGAAAGTAAAACAAAAAATTGAAAAATAATCTTACTTTTGACATAATATTTTCATCAACTTCACGTTCTGGTTCTGCCCAATCAACAGCAATTTGATGTCCCCATAAATGAATTCTACCGGGGATTAGTTTACGTCTAGCCATAGCTGCTGCTTTATGATTCTCATATTCAACAAATGCAAAACCACGATTTTTTGTTTTATCTGCAACACTTGGATATACAATAACATCTTTAACACCCTCAGTAACTTTAAGCATTTCAAGCATAATTTCTTCTTTTGTCTTTGATTTTGGGATACCACCAACAAATAAACGACAATTATCAATACTAAAGCATACGCCTAACATTTTCCCTTTACGTATTTCATAACAATCTAATTCAGCGACGGCACGTTTTGTGTCTTCACGATTTGTATATATACAAAATCCATAACCACGATTACAACCGCTAAAATCCATCATTAAACGAAACATATATATTTTACCAACTAATTCAAATATAGGGACTAATTCATCTTCAAAACAATCTCTTGGTATTTTACCAATAAATACTTCACAACCTCTTGGTGGTTGTGGTCCAATCCAATTCGGTGGGGGACCATAACGACGTTGACCGTTCTCTTGTAAGATTGGATAGGATGTCTTCTCTGAAAGGGTAACTAAGGCTTCTTCACGAGACATTAACATATGACTACTATTACTAATACTACTGCTACCACTGTTATTAGTAGTATCATGTGTATAATTCAGTTGTTTTAAATGATTATTATTGTTATTATTACTGATTGGCGCCGATAATAATCTATTTGTTAAAAGTGGTGGGAATACAAATTTATTTCTTATTGGACTGATTGAATGAGTTGGTGAATTGATTTGTTTATTGGCATTATTGTTGTGTCATCACTGTGAGGATTATTATTTTCAGTAATCTGATTGTTTTCAGATAAAGAAATACACGAATTACTGATTTTATTATTATTACTATTTATCATTGTCATCGTCGCCGCTGTTGTTATTGTTGTTACTATTGGTGACGATAATATCGATGATAGCGATGATGATGATGTTGATGGAGTACAAGTAGAATTAGCATAAATTTGATTTATATCTATATCAGATTTCATTGAATTCTTTGTTATATTTGACCATTTTGTTAAATTCTCTTGATTTACTTGTCTCATCATCAATACACTAAAAGTAATAGATCAAAGAAGAGTTATTTTGATTATAAATCAGCTCAGAAAATATCAGTAATTTAATTAAAAACTAATAAATAAATAAACATGAATTCGGTTATGGTTATGTTATGTTCTGCAATACGTCGAGATTGAAAAAGGGACAGCAAGTTGGACACAGATGTGATAATCACTAATATCACTTGTCCACGCCAACAACATTGCACGACAGCTACTTGTTTCCACAGCCTGCACTACTAAGACGAGAACATACAACGATGTGAGCCACAAAATAGGCTTCACGCAATAATGTCTGATTTAAAATATCACCAAGGATATGTCAATTAGTCTGTAGTCATGACAAATAAAATAGTGGCGTTTATTTTATGTCGGCCAATTTTGATTGGTTTATTTCCAGACTGGACATCGATCACTTGCACGGGCCAAATTCTGATTGGTTTATTTTCAGACTAGATATTGACCACCATATTAGATTAACAGTGGAGACGTATTTATTATTATTATTAATTATGCCATTCCATTCGGTTCCTAGTGAAGCATTTGACGCATTATCCCCCAGTGACCAGTCAATAAAACCAGTACATTCCTACAAGTCGTCAAACATAAGCCCAACTTGTTGAAGTGTAACACCTCTAACTAAAGCACTAAATGACTCAGGTTTGAGCAGACATCAGTTCCTTCAAAGTTGCAGATACACCTTACCAACGGGTGCCAATAAGCACCAAATTTAGGTTCAGAGCATCCTAACGATTACCTTCATCTAGCAGTCTAACAAAAATCTGCTAAACAAGTATGCACTATGATTATCAAATTAAAATAAAATGACACTATCCCCTAGTGTAAAGAACATTTATTCCATATTAGACCTTGGGAAATGTCACTTGACAAGGATCTGGTTGTGCATTTAGGAAAATATTTCCAACTCCATACCTTTATCCATTTTCACTCAATTTAGTTAGATTACGCGTTAAAGCATTTATTTATATGCAAAAAACATTTCACTTCCTATTATTATGGGTTACAAGCACACATTACTCCCTCGTTTTTATATTAGAAGGGGTGCTTGTGAGAAAACGGATAGCTTTAACGATCTAAAATTAAAAGCTAAAATCTTATACATTAAGCTAGGTTAGTTGTTTATTTTTCATGACACCAGGTTGACCGTTTATTTACTATAACTACTTTCGGTTGCGACAGTACATAGTCATTTCACTTTATTCTTTACCTTCTTTCTCAATCCTCTCCATGATTCCTAATGACCTTTCATTTCCTTTGCACCAATTAAACGTTTCAAGTATCGGTTTCCACGGCTTTAATTAGTTTTAAGTTGGGCCGGTTAGACAGCCACTGAATACCACTGAAGATCTAATTACGAACTGTTATAACGGAATGATACTGATTTGTGGTTATTGTCTAAACTGACTTCATTTCGTCTCCAGACGCGACATTATAACCAACCTACCGTCTGAAGGTATTCTCCACACTGGGACAGACACAAAAGTTAGATTTAACTGCTACAACAATGACAACAGTGACAATCTTTTTCTTATTCTAAATACACGAAACATATCTCGTTTACACATTCACGGAAATTTAAACCATAAATAGGGGTCGCACTATGTCGTAAATTGGCAGAAGTTAGAATTCACGGGCCATTGGACCGGTTCATGGTGGCTTAATGGTCTACGAGCCAGCTGGCTTTGTAACCAGAAGGTCGTGGGTTCGTACCCCGATGGGTGTATACTAGGATGAAACACCTGTTTAGTACTCCATTGCTGGTTTTCAGTGCTTCTCTAATTGATATCAATCCGTGATCAACTCGTAAAAGCAAATCTAAGCCTTACAAACCAACTAAAGAAAATAAATTTATTTTCTATAAAATGTTCTATCCAAGTAAGGCCTTGGATGTAGATAGTCATTTGGTTGGCTTTTTGATTGGGTGACTATACCGTAGTCTAGTCATAAAACATTATCAAAGATGACGCCTTGACAGACATCGAACGCACAACTGATTGAATTCAAAGCTGGAAGATCAGCTGAATTACTAGACATACAGGTTCAAACCTTAATTAATCAGGCAAATGATTTTGATTTGGTTATTTCCTCTGAGCTAAGGGATTTATTGTGAAGCTTCCATTATCTTCCTAGACAGCATCTTAAGCGCAGACTTCGCAGTTAAACTAACCATTACGAAGAGCAAAAGGCTTAGAAAGCTTTCTTATTACGAAAATACAACTGTTGAAAGTAAAATGAAAACCTGAGTAGAAGTAAGACTGGGACCAGAGGCCTCCGAGTAACTAGCTCGGTATACTAACAGCTGAGGTACTACACTCAGCTGCTAACCACGTGATAGTAGTAGTAGCAGTAAAATGATGATAAGATTAGTCATTCAGAAGCCTCTATTTCAAATTTCACCACAGTTCAGACTTTCTTTTCACTGTTACTCATCATTCATAACATGAATAATAATCTGTCAACTCAAGACTATCGAAGATGCTGTGCTTTCATTCTCATTTATTGGGTTCAAGTCTCATCTAGAATAAGACTACTCATGGAAGTGAAGCTACATTCGGTTGAAACATAACACATAGATATTAGATTCCAAAATACCACGTGTCATCTATCCATTAATATGACTTTATTATCCAAGTGTTAATAATGTAGAGAACTGATTGGTTGTAAGGTAGATTTCGTCAATGCTCAATGTTTCAATCCAGTGATGTTAGTCTAGATGCTTAAAAAATTTAAGATATTTTTATCTAAAAATAGCAACATCTTTGGTATTTTGTCTTTATATGTTTATCTGTAATGACAGAAGCCAAGGGCCAGGTATCAGATCATTTATTGAGAAAATCAACAGATATTTATAGATTTCTACGTACATTATTATTAGCGTTATCATTAGCAGAGGAACAGCGTCTTCTGATTGGTTGTTTTCCTGCTGAAGGTTATTCTGTCATCTCTTTGTTGCCGTTTCTTAGACAGTCCGGTGATATATCTGCTAATCGTATCCGCCCACGCAAAGTCTGCTGTGATTGGCTGTTAGGTTCTTCTTTGTTTTTGTTTATTTTTTCATGACCAAGATTTGGGACGTAAACATTGACGTAAATTGTTGTCTACCGATTTTGGTTAGCAGACAGCTCTCATCACAGTGGTGTTTATTTTTACGGGATAAGATTGAGTTGCTAGCCTCATGTCCAACCTCCTCCCTTTGCCAGCCTTGTTACTGGCCTAACGAGGTAAAGGAGTGAATGGGTGGCCTGGGATCAAAAACCCCGAACCCCATACGTGGTCGGTGAGCATTTTAACGCTGTGCAACCAACGGACATTTGCAAATTAAACAATTCCAAATGAAAGCTAATCATAGTTAGGCTTGCAAAGTCAAAATGTTCATATCAAAATATACTGTCTTTTAGATACCATAAATAGTAATAAATGGTGACATGATCTATTTTCTTGATTGCTGTTAACAGTATCAAATAGATTCCACATTTTGATCTGAATAATTCAAATTTCAAAAAAATGGCTACTATAAATCTATGTATCAACATTTCTCCGATATAACAAACAAGAATTCGGCTGGTTCCGTCTGATTGGGCTACTTACATTGAGTCAATTTAGCTACATCACTGAAAATGTTGCCTTCTAGATAGTAAAATGGTCTGAAAGGAACTTTGGAAACCTTATGCAGAATTCTTACGAAGGCAGGAATAAAAGTGGCTGGCATTCAAACCCACGAACTCAATTAGAAACAAGCTATGTCGGTTAAAGGATCCTGTCAGTGGAGCCTTTAAAACAAAACAATTTAGTTTATCTAATATCCTGCCTGAGATGATTGTCAGGTCAAATACATAGGTCAGAGTAGTAGAACAAGGGCAGTCAGATTAGCCGAGAATAAAAACCTAGCGAAATCTAGATTAGTTGACCTGAATAAGATAAGAAATCTAGAGAACAGTTGAGCTATAGCACTCACTACATGCAAATATACACAACCATACCATATATTGGATGATGGGATAAGATGACAGTTTCAAAATCTAATGTCACGGGGTGGAGGGAGAGATTGATAACAGAAGCTTTGTTTATCGAATCAACTGCAAACACGTGTAATAGGAATGATTCAATACCTGTCCCAGATATCTGGAAAATTCTGCTACCCCAACGACGACAAATAGGAGAGAACAAAGAAAGCCATAAAACTCAAGTGTCAAAGTCGTGTGATTACAATTGATATGATTATGAACAATAAATTTTATTCGAAACGTCATCCAGTAAATAATAATACTGTTTCACAGTGTGATGCATCTAATAAACAAACCAATATGGAATTACTTACTACCACAGTGCCCAAGTTTAACATATGTATTAGGAGTAAAATGGTCTGTTAAAAATTTAGATTATAATGATGGCCTGCTTTAATCATTGGGTTACCTTAACTTCTATCTGGTATAATGCACCTACTTTTCCTTGTATCTCACTGTCTTAATCTTACAATTAATATTTTGGGATAATAACATAAATAAATGTAAGTGTAAAACTTCGACACTGTGGTAGGATGTAATTCCATATTAGATAAATTTATTTTGAATATTGCACAGCAATGCAGTATTAACAACTGGATGAGTTGGCCATGCTAGACTATAGAATAAAACGAAAACAAGATGGTAGGCGGTCAGATACTATTATTGTTATTATTGTTTCCTTTAGTGCCTAGAGGAACATAGGGCTTCAGTCACACGTCTTCACCGCGTTTGGTTCTCCACCAATGTTTTCACTTGGCTCCAAGTCTGTCTACATGCTTTCATCTACTCTTCACATGACCTCCTTCATGTCACTCCACCCTCGCACCCTCGCTGCCTCTCATTCGGATTCCACTCGAGCGATGGCCTGGCATGTGATGTCACTCACTTGATGGTTTGTTTTCTCAGAGTATGGCCAATCCACCTCCATTTCTCTCTGCAGATTTGTTGCACAATTGGTTCCTGGGTGATTCGC